AAAAAGTCAAAGTCAAACTGTGTACCATCTGAATTTCAAGGTGAATGTCCGGCGAAGCACTCCACTATCACCTTGAAGTATTTCATTAGGACTACGTGTATGTGACAATGCCCTCACAGTTTAGAATCAGTTTACCAACAGCCAATCATATTGCTTCTTTCTTCAACGCGCTTGGCCAAGCTATCATAATCTTCGGGGCGGAACTAATTCACGAGACGCTCAACGTTGCTATTTAAGACGCGCACCACTCTACCTTGTATTTATATGGGCTCTGCGCGAGCTGCCGGGTGAGCTGCTGTGAAACACCGGTCGAAAAGCCAGGGAAAATAGCTAAAATCGAGAAAACAGCACAAACTTTGAAGACATCCTAAACAATCAAATTTAAATATGTTGCATATGTAGGGGTAATCTTGTTACACTGTTCAGGGGGGTGTCAACAACCATCCCAAAATACTGTTTTCTGAAAATTTGTTGTCGGGTGTGTTTAAACCGAAGAACGAAAAACAAAGAACGAAGACAGAATATTCATACTGTTTAATCATAACAGTTTAATACATTTACATGCACTCATCGTTCATACTGTTTAATCATAACATATATATTCTTCGTTCTTCGGTTTAAGCACACCCTTTGTTTTCACCATGATGGTTGCCAGGCGGTGAAAATGCCTGACCCGAGAATAAATGTCGCTGCACACAGTGGTAGCTGTGTTGGCTTAGATGTCGAGGCGCTTTCTGGCAGTCATTGTAACAAAGCTTTCTATTGGTCGGTAAACTTTCTATCGCGCAACCACGTGACATACACGGTTATGAATAGAATTACCGCACGGTGTTGTAGAGGGAGGAATGTCCGAATGGAACAACACCGTGCAGGCGGACGATGACTGTGTACATACCTGTCTACATTAATATACTGCCCTCTACAGTTGAAACATGAAAAGGTAAATTTAAAAACTTGAAATGCTGCATCTATTTCTGTAATTGACATGTGTATCCCCGAG